AAAGAAAGAAAGAAAGAAAGAAAGAAAGAAAGAAAGAAAGAAAGAAAGAAAGAAAGAAAGAAGAAGGAAGTGCAATAGCACTTAGACTTATATACCACTTCACAGTGCTTTACCACCCTCTCTAAGCGGTTTACAGGGTCAGCACATTTTACCCACCTCGGAACGAAGGAAGGCTGAATCAACCTTGAGCCTGGTGAGATTTGAACTGCCAAACTTCTGGCAGCCGGTGATCAGCAGAAGTAGCCTGCAGTACTGCACCCTAACCGCTGCGCCACCACGGCTCTCATGGTAAACAGTTGCAGTGTTTTCCTCTTAACATGCAATTTTCTCAAATTATAGCAGCACCGTTATAGATTACCCTGCATTTTTGACTGGCTGAATAGACCGAATGTGCTCTGCCTCTTGTTAACCAGCAGGTGCCTGCTCCCCCCCGCCCCCAAACTCTGGTTATTCCAAGGAAATGAATGGATGCATTCTGCAAAACGGCTTCCTTAGCAGAACAATAGTGAGATAGACCTTGTCCAAACCGGGGAAGAACAGCGGCAGACCTACTGTAGGGAAGGGAAGGAGGGGGGAGAAGATGGAGAAGAACACAATGAGCAATCAAATATGTGCATGGTATCAGGAACATTTCCCAAAGAGTAAATATTTTTAGTATATATTTTTTTCTCCTACCATTTGCTAGTTATAATTACGTTGATATTTTAAACGGCTCTAGAAAGTGGGTGTTTTAAATGTGGGAATGGGCTGGGTTGATTCTCATCGGGGTAAATCATAATTATATTTGTTTGTTTGTTTTTATTTCGACTTCAATGCCGCTGAAGCTCGGGGATAATGGGAAAGCCCTTACTGACTTTTCGCAAGAGAGAAGGGGTGGAAATGAAAATATGATCTATGGGTTTGATTAGAATGAATGGGTGATAGAAACATAAACTCAGGATAGGAGGTTGAATTTACATGTTTGCTTGCAACAGTGGTAAACGAAAATTAGAAGTCACTTCTTTGTAACTTTTTTTTCTTTTCCATCATTTCTGCACTTTTGGTTTTGCTCTTTTCTTTCTTTTTTCCTCTTTTGTTGTTCTAAATATTAGTTTTTGTTCATTTTTATTATGTTTTCAAATTTCTAATCTTTAAAAAAAAAGACGCAAGCATATGAAATGGATGCAGTGATGGAACTGCAGGGCAGGACTGCTGTAACCTATCCCAATTTGCTGAGGTCTCTTCTTCCTTCCCCATCCTCTTACTCCTCTCCCTCCCTCTCTACTTCCTCCTTCTGTGCCTCCTCATTCCTTCTCCCACATCCTCCTCCTCCTTCTCCTTCTTCCTCCCCCCCTTCCCTCCTCCTTCCCTTCCCATTCTTCTTCTCCTTCTCCCTCTTTCCCCCTCTTCCTCCTTCCTTCTTCTTCTTCTGTTTCATCTAATATATATTGGCAGTGTGATAAAATGCCACAAAGATTTGTGTACATTGGATGGAAAATGTTGAAGTACCGAGTAGGAACTGATGGACTTTGGTCCATTAAGGAGAAAGGCCAGTGGCTGGAGATGACCAAAGTTGGTGCTCCTCGAAGCAAATTCCATCTTAGTGAAATTCTGTGGACACATCTGAAGCAGAGGTGGTATTCAACAGGTTCTGACCAGTTCTTGAGAACCGGTAGCAGAAATTTGGAGTAGTTTGGAGAACCGGCAAATATCACCTCTGGCTGGCCCCGCCCCATCTATTCTCTGCCTCCCTAGTCCCAGCTGATCGGGAGGGAATGGGGATTTTGCAGTATCCTTCCCCTGCCACGCCCACCAAGACACGCCCACAGAACTGGTAGTAAAGAAATTTGAATCCCACCACTGGTCTGAAGGTTTCGGAGATGCAGGTCAACCAACTTCTCCACTCCTGTCTTTGTGCAAACATGTCCTTTTTTCTTTCCTAGGCTGATGCCAAGATGGTCTGTGATGTCGTGAGTCGGATGGAAGACACGGAGCCCTTCTCTCCAGAGCTGCTTTCGGCGATGATCAGGCTTTGGTCCGACAGTGGCCTCCAAGAGTGTTTCAACCGGTCCCGAGAATATCAGCTCAATGACTCTGCTCAATAGTGAGTTTTGGTCATCACTAGAAGTCTTTTAAACAAGGAGCACCAGCCAGGACCAGTAGTTTTACCTCCCTTGTAAGGTTGCATTAAAACAGGAGTCCCCAAACTTAGCAAATTTAAGACTTACGGACTTCAACTCCCAGAATTCCCCATGCTGGCTGGGGAAACTCTGAGTGTTGAAGGCCGCAAGACTTCAAGTTGCCAAGTTTGGAGACCCCTGCATTAAAAGAACCTTGCACTCTTTCCAAAACTGCTGTTGTGGCCCACCAGCAGTCTGCAGAGCTGGCAGCAGATTCGGACAGTGAGGAGGNTCTCTCTTGAAAGCCTCCAGTGATGAAGCTCCCACAACTTCTGTTCCATGGGTTGATTGCTCTCTCTGTCAGGAAAATTCTCCTTATTTCTGGTTGAATCTCTCCTTGATCGGCTTCCATCCATTATTCCTTGTCTGGACTTCAGGGGCTTTGGAAAATAGCTTGACAGCCCTTCAAACATTGGAACACAGCTTTCATGTCTCCCCTTGTCCTTCTCTTCACTAGACAATTTGCACCAGAACTTGTAGAGGTTATTTTTTTTTTGTTTCTGAGCAGATAAATGTATCCCCAGTCACGACATTGAAGGGAAGAGAGTAATAGGGTTAAAAGGGACGGAGGTCTTCTAGTCCAACCCACTCCTTGAGCAGGAGACCCTATACCATTCCAAACAAATGGTTGTCCCTTCTCTTCTTAAAAGCCTCCAGCGATGGAGCATCCACAACTTCTCAACATTTTGGCCTTATTTAATTTAAAATCCGATGGGATCAAAGAATGTGCTAACTACCAAGAGAAGTATTAGTGGGCACATTGGTGCCCAGGAGTGTCGCACTTGAGATCAAGGGCAAGATGCTGAGAGTTGTTCCACAGAGCCTCAGTGGGCAGATCTCTTTGGAGGAGAAGGTCAAGGTAGATGCGATGATTGGAACACGAAGGGTTTTCTGCATCATTTGCTCAGAGCCAGTCATTTTTCAGGCCCAACCCTTGGAGATCTTTCAATCAGCTTGCAACGTTGGTAGGCACATAGCAATAGCACTTAGACTTATATACCATTTCACAGTTCTTCACCGCCCGCTCTAAGCGGTTTACAGAGTCAGCCTATTGCCCCTAACAATCTGGGTCCTCATATTACCAACCTGAGAAGGTTGGAAGATGAGTCAACCTTGAACCAGTCAGGATCAAACTGTTGGCAGTGGGCAGAATTAACCTGCAGCACTACATTCTAACCACTCTGCATCATGGATGGATAGATGGATGGATGGATGGATGGATGGATGGATGGATGGATGGATGGATGATGGATGGAAGGAAGGAAGGAAGGAAAGAAAGAAGGAAGGAAAGAAAGAAAGAAAGAAAGAAAGAAAGAAAGAAAGAAAGAAAGAAA